CCACCGAAGGCCCCATGGCTGCCGTCCGCATGCGTCCCGCACACCCATTTTGGCACACCCCTCACACGTTTCGTGGCCCCACAGGGAGCTCCACCGAAGGCCCCAGTGCTGCCGTCCGCATGCGTCCCGCACACCAGGTGTGTGGCGTGCCGACATGGGCGTCGCGGCGCGCGGGCGCTGCCGTCGGGGTTCCCAGGGAAGCCCCCTGCAGAGGCGACGCTCAGAGTCACGAGTACCGAGAGTCACGCAGACCCAAACTGTTCACAGTCGTATACATACATTTACACTGGGCGTATCCATGCACGCATTCATGCGAATAGAATCAATCGCGCGCAGATTCATTCATAATCAGACTCGCTCGCGATCCGACTCGCACGCGCTCAAGCTTTCATATTCGGACCTATCGTCTTCGTTCGTGTTGTGTACACTGCCACGCATTTCGGCACACCCCTCATACGGCTCGTGGCCCCATAGGGAGCGCCACCGAAGAAGATATTCACAATTGCGGTACTTTCAACTGCATATGGTTGGGTCCTTCGCCAGGCTAATTTTAGTGACGTCGGCCCGGGGGAACCGGCCTCTTCCCCCGGGACGGACTGTCCATCCCGAGTCGGAGCTGCGGCGGCCATTCGGGACGACTCGGGCACCCCCATCTGCGAGGTGCAGCTGGTGGAAAGCGCCCCGAGGCAAGGAAGCCCGGGAGAGCGCCTGAATTAGGGGGAAAACAAACCTACCTCGCTTTTGACCACCCTCGCTTCCAAGAGATACCAAACGATGCCAGATTGCAGCCTGTACTGGTCAGGCCGCTTGACAAGGAGGCGCGTGGTATGGCTTGGTTTTGCCTGGAAGCGAAAGCGGGGTAGGTAATCCCACCAGCCCTTTGGGCGTGAGTGGTTTAGAGAGCTTTCTCTGTTCTCAACCCCCCAACCCCCTTTCCTCCCCTTCGGGGAGGGGTTTACCCCTCCCCCTACCCCCTCCCCTGGACCCGGAGAGGGCGGGCCGAGTGGTGCCAAGGGGGTCTTTTTCGACTCCTGGGAGGGCCAAAAAACGACGACCCTCACGAGGATTGTGGCCCCGAGGGGGGGGGGGGCCGTTTGGCGCATCAACTCGTCTGTGAAGCCAAAAACATTGATTTTACTAGGGTTTTGGCCCCATTTTGGGCTTCTGAGGGGGCAGCGCTCATCGTCCTTCATAGCAAAATCAATGATTGTACGAAGGTTTTGGGCTCATTTTGTCCTCCTCAGGGGGCAGCGCTCATTTGCGCTTCTGAAGAGGTCGCAAGAGGCCCCAAGATGGCCCCAAGAGGCCCCCAGGAGGCTCCCAAGAGGCCTCCAAGAGGCCCCCAAGAGGCCCCCAGGAGGCCCCCAGAGGCCCCCAAGAGGCCCCCAAGAGGCCCCCAAGAGGCCCCAAGAGGCCCCAAGAGGCCCCCAAGAGGCCCCCAAGAGGCCCCCAAGAGGCCCCCAAGAGGCCCCAAGAGGCTCCAAGAGGCCCCCAAGAGGCCCCACGAGGAGCCCGAACGACTCACACCAGGACGAGGGGCCCGAACGACTCACACCACGAAGAGCCCGAACGACTCACACCACAAGGAGGGGCCCGAACGACTCACACCAGGACGAGGCGCCCGAACGACTCACACCACGAGGAGCCCGAACGACTCACACCACGACGAAGCCCGAACGACTCACACCACGAAGCCCGAACTCACACCAGGAAGAAGGGCCCGAACGACTCACACCAGGACGAGAACCCCAAACGACTCAAACCACGAGGAGCGCTTTCTCTCCCTCCTCCTCCGCCTCGTCCTTCTCCCGCTCCCCCCACAAGGAGGATGTACAAGGAGGCGGGAGGAAGGAGGAACAGGGGAGATATGCGGGGCCAAGCGGACACACGCCTGAAAAACACGACTGTCGGCATGCTTCGCAAGAGTTGCTGCTGTGAGATGGGCTGGTGGGGATACGCGAAGCGTAAAGAATTCACGCTCTGATGGATCTGAGGTCGCAGAGCGGCCCCCAATTGGAGGTCGTCGTCGCTGCCGCCGTCGTCGCTGCCGGAGTCGTCGGCCGTCGGCCGCTTGGTCGTCTGCCGCTCCTTCACGCTTACGGCCACCGGCGGGGGTTGCGAGGGGACGAAGAAGCTGGACTGGAGCCGCTCCTCGTGGGGAGGGGGGGAGGGGGGGGGGCATCCCACGCAATCTGCCTCTGATTGCTCTCTGCTCACTTTCTGCTCGCTCATCCTCCTCCCTCTCTGCCTATCCTCCTCCTCCTCCTCCTCCTCCTCCTCCTCCTCCTCCTCCTCCATCATCATCATCATCATCATCATCATCATCATCATCATCATCATCATCATCATCATCATCATCATCATCATCATCATCATCATCATCATCATCATCATCATCATCATCATCATCGTCCTCCTCCTCCTCCTCCTCCTCCTCCTCCATCATCTTCCTCTTCCTCTTCCTCCATCTTCGGGTGCGCCCGACAGGGACAAGGGAGAGGGGGCCAGGAAGAGGGCGGGTTAGCGAATCATGGCCCGTGGCACGCTCGCGGACGAGGGAGTGGTCAGGGACTGCATTGAAAGAACAGGGGGCGATTGAATATGGGAGATTTCATGGCCCTGGCCATGGCATACACACACTTGTCCTCCGGCAGAACACGCTTAGGCGAATTTACCACCAGGCGTAGCAGGCGGGCGGACTGGGCGTGGCAGTCGCGTGCAAGGACGCAGCACCGAGACGGGCACGCACGTGGAGGACACCCGAGACAGGCCGTGCAGGTGCAAGAAGAAGGGCCCGGCCGCCCTGCGGATCAGTCGACAAGGGCCAGAAACGGCAGCGCGCGGTGGGGGCGTGCGAGCAAGCAGCGAAGGCAAAGCCGACGTGATGGCTCCGAGGCGGCGGCGGCGAACGCAACACGTGCAAAGCCTGCCGGGGCAGCTGGAAGTGGCGCCGGCTGACACCGCCGCCTGCGTCGCTGCCCGATCTTCGTCGACGAGCAGCGCCACTGCAGGAAGGCGGAGGTGTGCCTGGGGCTCCCGATGAGGCGAGATCCCGTGTACACACACATACATGTATATACATACATGTATATACATACATACATACATACATACATACTTACATACATACATACATACATACAGACATACATACAAACATACATGTATACATACATACATACATACATACATACATACATACATACATACATACATGCATGCATTCATGCATGCATGCATGCATACATACATACAGACATACCTACATACATCTATGCATGCATGCATACATACATGCATACATGCATATATACAGATCTACATACATGCATACATACATACCTATATACAGACCTATATACAGGCACGCATGCATGCATGCATACATGCATACATGCATACATGCATACATGCATACATGTATACATACAGACATGCGTACGTACATACATACATGCATGTATACAGACATGCATATATATATATATATATACATACATGCATGCATGCATACATACATGCATGCATAATACATAGTACATACATACTCTATATTTATATATGCTTACGTCGGCGGCTAGGCAGAGTCACTGCGCTGGCGATGGGGCGTGCACACACACACACACACTAAGTCAAGCAAGGGCCAGTCCAGCTCACACGGCAAGGACATGCTTGGTCCGCCCATTGGGGACCACGCGGCATGACTTGCGGGGGGCAGCCGCGAGGGGGTCGAGTGGGGAATGACCCCAGACCCCCGAAGTTTTGATCTTTTCATGACGTGACCCTGAGAAGTCTGGAGCCCTCCCCAGGGACCGGCTTCTCATCCTCAGCCGTTCTTGCACGGTCCCGCGGCCCGGTGAAGGCCCCCAGAGGGCGAAAATAGCGAAAGACCTGCCGTCGCAATTTTCTCATGCCTCGAGTTATGTTGCTCCCATCGTACTTGAGGAACACATCCCAGAAAGAATTTCGAGCACCCGGACAAGTGTCGAAACAGTGCCGAAACGGTGTCGAAACGGTGTCGGACGAGTGTCTTTTTGTTCCAGGGCCCGACACGTAAAAACCCTTGAGTCGTTGGGTACTTTTCTGGTGCTCGACATTCTTTCCTGGTGATCAAGACTAAAGTAGGTTGGAACATCATAAGCCTCCAGAGGGTCTGGGACTCGAGGGCTTGCCGCACGCGGCCGGACAGAGGAGGAGCGGGGAGGAGGAGCGAGGAGGAGGAGGAGCGAGGGAGCATTGGTCACAGGACAGAGTTGTAACTGGTACGCCAGAATCGACATGCAGTGCGAGTGGAAGAGGCGAATGGTCTGGGGAAGCCCAAGCCCCAGCCCACGGAGCCTCCGAACCGTCATCCAGAACTTGGGGATGGTGTTGCTCCGTACTTCATCCAGAGCCCCAGGCCCAAGCCAGAATCCCAAGTATAGAACCACACGAACAAACCCAATGCGGTAGTACTCACTCCCCTTGGCTCGAAGGTGGGCAACTAATCTATCAGGATCAAGCGAGCCAATCACCAGTACCTTACATTTGGGAATGTTCAGTCCAAGTCCCACGGCATGTTCCAACTTACGAAGGAGCAAGAGCGTCGGCTGGAGGTCAGTCAGGATGTTGGAAAGGCAGAAGGAGAGATCATCAGCGTACGCTCTAATCCGAGGGACATGGTCCGTGAGCTTGGCCCTCATCCAACGCAATACTGATTCTAGCGCATAAGCGAAGAGGAGCATCGAAGCAAGATCACCTTGCCGCACCCCACGCTCCACCGAAAACGTAACACCAGTAGTCCCAGGGAATTGGATTACAGCCGCACTGTCACGGTACAACTCGCGATAGAAACCACAAACTTCACCAGGAACACCCATAGACTCCAAGACCGCCAATATCCAGGAGACGATCAAAGAGGGGAACGCAGCCTCAAAGTCCGTGAAAAGGATGCCCGAGCGATCCCCACCAGTAAGCATCTGACGAAGACCCCACCATTCAATCTCGACCACGCTGTCAAGGAGCCCACGCCGCGGACCCCCCCCCCGGCTGGATCGGATCGATCACTGACGGCGCAGCCCGCTGGAGGCCAATGGAGAAGGCGTCACTCAGGAGCTTCGCATCGGCATTCGCAAGCGTGAGCGGGCGAGTCTTATCAGGCGACCGAACAAGGACAGCGGGGTTCTCGTCATCTTTGACGTCTTTGGGCAGGAAAAACATCCTTCCACGACGCACGCACGCCGAAACAGTACCCCCGACGCTTGGCACATCTCATCGTAAACAGCAAATAAAACATCAGCGGCCCCCTCGGCTTTCCAGCATCCATACGGAATGCCATCCTCCCCAGGGGCAGAGTGATGCTTAAATCGGGCTCGTTCAATAAAACCATCAACTTCCAACTTCCAATGTTCCGGGTCCAACTGGATCGGCTGGGCATGAGCGAGGATTTCAAGCCAAAGGGTCCGATCCGGTTCCTTGGCGGCAAAAACCGCCTGCCAATGGTCCCGAAGGGCCTCGGCAGAGACCGTCGGAGAAGGGCACGCATGTCCAGAACTGTCCAGGACCCCAGAGAGCCCGCATCGGCGTCGCATCTATGACCAAGCACGACGAAGGTGCTGCAAGCGTGCCATTGCCTTAGCCTTAGACTTCTCGTCACCCCCCCACCCGTCCATCGCCCGTTCCTCCGACTCATACCAAACATCCTTCAGAGACTGCACCAATGCACCTAAGCCGACTATATCCAAGCATCTCTCACGGTCTGGATCAAAGTACTGACGCAACCGAGGATGCGCACGCATTGCACGCACACACTGGTCGAACCTGCCCATACGCCACCCACGGAAGGCCATCATAGCAAAGTGGAGCTTCTCACAATTCTCCGTCGGGGGCTTCGACCGATACCGAGCCTTGAACAGAGGGGCCATCTGCCAGAAAATCTCCTTCACCCGAGCCAGTTTCTCCCGAGGGTTCAGATCCTGGTCGATTTCCATAATAGCGCTGGTACGTAACTCATGGTAAGCTCCATGTCGGAAAATCCACTTAGGAATCTGGGTGGGTAATGCTGATGGCATTCTCAGAGCGACAGTGGCCACGACGGGGATGTGGTCAGACGAGGCGAAGGTCTTCACGGCATGCCCCAGGGCATTTACCGCCACCGCCAAATCATTCAATACAGGGGCCGAGAGAGAGGTGTAGATGCGGCCCAGGCGGGCAACCCCACGGACTTCTCCCTGGAACACATCACGCCGAGTTGGATCTGGCTGGGAAAGCTCAGCCCAAGACCCACAGATAAGCTGAAAGGCATCAGTGTGTTCCCTATCCCCTGCTAACCACGTGCCGTCAGTCCGAAACCGCCCCTCCTCAACCTCCATAAAGTTCCAATCCCCAGCAATCAAGCACATGGTGTGCGCAGCCAATGGAAGGAACGCCTGAATCACACACAGGTACCTGCGATACATCGCAACTGGATCAGAAGTATTCGGCACGTGCACATTGACAATCACTAAGTCCCCACTACGTCCCTTCAGGTGCGAGGCGAGAACACGGCCAGCAATCAACGGAAACGGAGTGATCGATTCGAACTGCGAAGCCAGCTTACTCGATATGACAGTAACAACACCGCCCCCAGCCCTCGGATCGATCATCGAATGGTGAACAATTGCACTACGACAACGATCATCACGCTGTAGCATCTCCACATCAGACACCGCGCCATGAGTCTCCTGTAAGCACACAGCGCCAAGCCTGCCAACAAGACCATACATCTGCTTATAACGCCGAGCTGCCAGTGGAGACGAAGTAGAGTACGAAGAGAAGAGAGCACGTGTATTCCAAGAGCACAAGGTAAGCGCAGAAGAGGGAGCAAACACCCCGTTCGCTCCAGAGGACGGGTCACCAGGGGTAAAAGGTCCTCCTGAATTCAGATTAAAACACTGGTTGGCTGGCTGAGCACTATCCTGGCTGGTCGGCACACGGGTCCGATGGTTTCCCCCGACAGGCCCACCATCCCAGGGAGGGCCCGAACCACCAGGGACCCGACAAAAAAGACCAGGCAGCGCACTGGGAATCCCGAGGCGGGGGGCTCCAGGACAACTGGGGCCATCACACGAAGGGCCGAATCTGATCAAAAAGGGTGACAATGCATGCAGCGTGCTCACCTACTCCGAAAGTTC